ACGTTCAGTCGCAAGCTGCGTAGGGCGGAGGAGGAAATTGCGTCTCTCAGGGCGCATTACCATATTCTGCTAAAAAGACACGTGGCCCCGGGGAAGGCAGCAAAGTGTCGCTGGTTTACCCTGTAGCAAGGCAAATGATCGAGACAATTTGAGAAATAATCGCCCTTATTATTTCAACGACATCAATGTAATTAACCTCTTCCATTAAAAAATTTGGTATTACAAAATAAGGGAGCGAAATTAGAGTTCTGCATTTCTTCTCCGATGGAGCAGCAAAGAACAATTATCGGTGGGCTGCAGCTGCTACTAAAGGGGTTCACTTTGTTTACTCACTGCGCGTGGCCATGTTATTTTTTTTAAGTATTTTGTTTCTCTTTCTCTTTGATTGCGAGAGGGTTGAGAATTGTTTATGCCCCATTAGCAATACACAAAGCGCTCGCTTAGTTGCTGCTTTGCTAATTGCTACTTGGTCGTTGTAGCTGAGAGAGCGAATTGCAATGCTGCTGCGGACGGGTTAGTTTAATTGCATCTCGCAAGTAAGGCTGGTTCATTTGATCACTGCTCGTTTACATATTATCATCAACGCAATGTAAACATAATTCATCCAAAATCAATTGTTCCTTGAGTTTCTTTCAAATCTTAATAAATAAATTGCATCTTTTTTAAAATTAAATAATAATAATATATTAAAAGGATTAAAAATTAAGATTAGAAAATGTTCTATATTGAGTTTTTATGTCAAATTCTTTGATTTTTAAAAAATATGTGCATATTACTTTTATTTTTAATTGTATGATAGATATTGATATTGTAGGCGTAATTTACTATAAATTAAATATTTTTAGACGCCTTACAATTTTATAAATTATTTAGAAGTTTCTGACGGATTAAATGTAATTAGATTTGCAACATCTTCTACAAGTTTATGAAACCTCATCTACAACTTTTCTTCGAGAACTAGTTTTTCCTCTAAGTCAATAATACAAAACTTCTTGAAACTAAAACAGATGAAGATTTATAAAAGGAAGATTGCAGATTGTAATTAAAGAAAATCCTACAACTTGTGAAAGACTTTTTATCAGGCAGTGGTATAAAATCAAAGAAAGTAGCAGACAAGTAAAACTTTTGCCATAAAATTAAGGTAAGAAGCTTTGTTGCAGATTAAAATTAATTTTGCCTTCTTAACAAGTAGTGTCAGTTTGCAACTTTGAGAGAAAAACTTTCAGCATGACTGCGCTGCTCCTATCAGCCCTCTTAATTTTTTTCTTATGTTAATCAGATATAATAATATTTGCTGTTGTTGCGGTCTCGAACCTTCTAGTTGAAAAGCTACGAAATGCCCAGGTATAGAGTTGTTGCTATTTGTTATAGCATAGTTTGTGGCTCTTGAGTTTGCTCTTTGCTCAAACTTTGATTAAAATTGACTACGCACGCTTCATTCGGTTGCCTGATCAATCTTGAATGTTGGAAATTAGTTTTGCCAAAGTTGTGAACACCCATAAGTTAATAAAATGCGGCCGCACCACAAGACAAGAATGCTTTCATATTAAAACTAATTTAATAACGCAAACTATTAATCTTAATACGCTTCTAATTATTATTTTCAAATCTCTGACTTTTTAACTACCAAGAAATAATAAAATTTCAATAATATTCTTTAACAAGCTATTTCCGTTTTAATCAAAAAGGTCGATTTTTTACAGAGAGTATATTTGGTGCCAAAGTTCTCGTCGATTCAATAGGAGGCGATTTATCAAAGTGAAGGGATTTTTGCAGCTGCCGCTGGCAAGAAATTAATCCACACCTCGGTGGCGTCGGCGACAAACAAAAAGAAAGAGACGCGTCAGAACAAGCTGCTCTAGCCTGGGCTCTTTTCTTTTTTGCTGGCCGCCGCCACCGCAAATTTAAAATAAAAATTTATATTAGATTTTTTTACATCCTACCGCGTGGAAATTGAAATTTTTATTTTCAAAAAGTTTATATTTGTGAGTTATCAATTTCAGAACGATAAGAAGATTTTTAAATATTTCTAGGGGGTGGAATTTGTTTATTAAAAAGCAAATTTCTCACAGTGAAGCTCAATTACTTGCGGCTTTTTTTACTTTTCATAAATTCTCGCTCTGGATGTCGCCGCATGAATGGAGAAAACTGGATTTTTAGTTTCTCCTAGAACAATATATTTTCAAATTCAATAAGGAGTCAAAAATGGTTGTGTTGATTGAGAGAAAATGCTTGAAAGCTGTAGGGTGTATTTTCTCAATAAACATTCCGAAGGCTCCTTGTGGCGCCTGATTTAAGAGCTTGGATTACTTTGTTTTAAAATTGTCCGATTAGTTCCTTTCCCTGCATCGTTAATTGGAAATCAAAACAAACAGTGCATCTGCTTTCAGCTTAACTTAATAGGACTAGTCTGAAAATACGTCCCACATTTAATTGGCTGCTATATATTAACGAGGACCACGCCGCTTTTAAATTATATAAATCAAGTCAGAATGCTGAAAACATCTCGTTCAGCAAAAGTCGGGGCAACTTTATACTCGCACGGCGAAATGCAGTATTTCATTCTTGTTTTTTTCTTTCTCCCGCACCATATTCGTGATGTCTCCGTATGCTGCACCGAGACTGAAATAACTCGAGCAGCCCTAACAAGAAAAATAACACCCTTTTTAGCGCCGTAAGTCAAAACTCTGGCGGCGAGCGGCACTTTTGCCTCCTCCTCTTTTTTGCTCCAATTTCTTCGTGCTACTCGGATCGCACATAAAATTTGTCAAAGTCTCTTTAAGGAAAACCAACGTTGCCAGATCAAAATTCAAATCAAGTGAATTATACTTTATTTAAATTACTTTACCATTACAATTAATTAACAAAACAAATAATGGTGATTTTATTACTTCAAAACTAGGTTCGGCGCCATTCTAAATTTTGAATGCAGGAAGAAAATTATTCTTCCAAATTCTGGTGATATATTTGCCTGCGAGAAAGATTAAAAATTTCCGCAAGGGCATCTAATTATTGTTCCCAGAGCCTTTGTGTGTGGCGAAAGATTAATGTCGGTGTCACCCTGCGTCGACTAGGGTATTTTATTCCTTGGGCCTTTTTCTGCGAGCGACTTTTTTGTCTTTTGTCTCGAGCGGGATGATCAATGGAGAGTCTTTTTCCTCCGTCTAATGCGCACCCATTAAAATTATTATTTTCCCGGCGATTCGCTGAAACGTGAGAGGCGACTTGCAATGGAGTTTTTGCTAATTAGCTGCGAGATTACGTCAGCTGAGGATTTAAAAGCGATCCTTGAACAGACACTTGGCAGTTCTTTTGCTCTCATCTCGTCTTGTCTATTTTTCAGAGAGCTGTGCTGGAAAAAGGTTTTTAATTAGGTAATGGGGAGCAGACAATCAATACACCCGGCCCTTGATCGCCATTACAGCACTTGCACTTCATTAACTAAAAAGTCTAAAAACTATACAAGTGCAGCTTTTTAATTTCACCGATGCTTGTTTAGAATCACCTCATTACCTCTATAACTTTGTCTACAATTTTATAAGCGATAAGAAAATGTATGTGTAACGTTTGATTTTTAACATTTTAAATATTTTTCAAATTATTTTTGCAGAAAATAATCTGCAAATTTCATTCACTTTGGAAATTATTTGATAAATGTGGAAAAAATCCCAAATTTGCTTTCAGTTGAAATGAACGGTGTAGAAAGAGTCAATCAGCAGTCCTTTTCCACGTGAATATCGTTGTTGAAATTAATCAACCCGTTCGCACTCGGCGAGAGGATTGACTTCATTTAGCACCAGGCACAACCATATAATTGCATTTGCAGGCGGGACAGATGTGATTTAATTGAATTATCCTTTTCGCATTTTGGAAATTGGACTTTCTCGCTCCGTCTGCGGCCAGCACAGTTGTTTTCTCAGCAGCCGACTGGAGTGTTATTTTGCTAAAAAAAAAAAGGGTGGCGTCAGCCCACAAAATCTTTTATCAGGTCCAGCAGCAGATGCTAAGAACCCTCGCACCCAGTTAATGGACTCGTTACACAAACTTTTTCAAAAAATAAAATCGCACCTCCAAGAATTCACCAACAATTTGTCTGGCTAATGGACTTTGAAAGTAATTAATATTCAAAAGTGGCTAAAATAAAGAGACTTGGGAAAGGAAGATCCCATGCAAGGTTCCAGAAAAGAAAAAAAAATAAATTGCTCTTATTCTTACTCTTCATTCAAACGCTCTCGGTTTTTATTTCTCCTGCCAACCCAAAAGTGATTCAATTATAAAAGCAATGAAAATTTCTTCCCTACTTTTGTTTTGAATGATTTGCTACAGATCCTTTATATTCCGACGCTTCTAGCTTTTTTGTTGTAAGCGACAGGACAAACCCTAACAAGTAGAACTTCAAAGAAAAAGGAGAAAATAAATATTATTTTTAATATTTATTTACTCCTTAAAATGACGTTAATTTTTATATGAAAGTTCTAACTGGTATTATGTTATTTCTCACCCTCCCTTGTAGTTTAAATGCTGGAATCAGCTGTTGAATTAATTATAAGAACCTTTCAGTTTCTTCACGCGAGATGTTAAGGTTGATAGAATTCTTAATTAATTTCTTTGTGTAACTTGTACATTAGTTTCCAAAACTTGCAGATTTAAATGAAAAGAGTAATTTGCAAAGTTGTGCGAGAACTTTGCACTCAAGAGAAAAGTGGTGAGTTACACACAAACGCAGGAATGAATAGGAAATTTAATTTTCTCGGAAGCTGTGGGCTCGGAGAGGGAACTGCAAAACGCGAGAAAACTAGCGTGCCAAAATCCGGGCATAACACGTGAATATTTTAATCCGCTGGAAGAGGGTTTTTGTGCCTCATAAATCTCGGAGTGACGCATTAACCCTCGCGCATCCGTCAAAACTACCTGGGCCGTTGGAAAAAAAATAATAAAGGGGGTTAATTAACCCCGGCTCTAATTTCATTCGGAGTGAGAAATGGCCAGAAAATGCTTACCTTGCAGGGCGAGCAGCAGGACAAAGAGGGTCGCGTGCATTTTGGACAACTTTGGCGGAAAAAACTGTTCACTGGGTTTGAAGCATGGTCGCGCCGAGCAGAGCAGATCCGCGGCGCCGGGTGCGTTTGGCTGCGAGGTCGGCGCAGGACTGAGAGCTGCCGCCGCCGCCACCCCCGCCAACCCAAGCGCCCCCTCGCGATCAAGCGTTTCCCAGTCGAAAGGATCGACTGCGGCAGTTGGCGTGAATAGGCACTTTTCTACTAACGCAAATTTGATTGTTTTCTCTACGTGTATATTTTTCATATTGTTTGACATGTTGGTTACAGAGCAGATCTGAAAATAAAGACCGAACTTTATTTTTAGCAATGAAGAAAAATTGCACTATGAAGACATCACCTTCATATTTAAAGAAAATATTAATAATAATGTTTTATTTAAATTAGGTCATGAAATTGGAAATTAAATTTAAAAGCCGATTTAATGAAAAGGAAATTAAATTAGAAGAGTTTCACAGACGAGGGGTTGCTTTCATGGTACGGAGGGTCACCCTTTTCTTGATGATAATTATTAGTTAGTTTATTTTTCATAGAAAAACTAACTTCAACTAACAATAAGAAAGCTACGCTCAAACACATACACGTTTCAGGGGAAAAGGCTGCCTAATTGGTTTGTTTGAAACGAGAACGGAGAACATAAAGACCAAGAGGAGAATAGAGCAGCAAGGGAAAAACCACACAAGTCGGCACTCAATTAAATTCCTAGAGCAGTAGTCCAGTCTTATATCAATTCAATTCCGACAAGAGAGCGGATTATATATCATTTTTATTTTAAAAGGAAATATTATCAGAGTAAGATATTAATTAAATAAGCTTTTACATCTCCAATCATTGCAATTTTAATTTCTTCTATATAAAAATATTTTTGCTGATTTTTGTGTGCTCTTAAATTAAAAAGTTTGAAAAAAAAAACAACAACTGAATTGTGCATCTCTCATCGTATTTGTTTGGCCACGCACGTGTTTCACAGAAGATATTTTGCAAGATTGGTGGGCGCAAAAGGCATTGGGTGCAGAAGCCGCGCCTGGTTGCAATAAAATTTTGTTACACACGAGGGTAATAAATATTTACAGCTCGTTTATCACTCGATATTGAATTGGGGGAAGGAATCGCACTTCGCCTACAGGAAACAAAACGCCTGCGAGGGAAATTGAAGATCAATAAGCAGCATTTTAAGTGTCCATAGCAGAGAGCTAGGAAACCCTTTCTTTCCCACGCCCTTCTGAATCAAATGGCCTCCTTTTTGCTCTTGGAGGCAGATGCTGCAGGAAAATTGCCCGCTCCTCTTTTATTTAAATTTTCTTTTCACGAGACGCACAAAGTCAACCCTATGACATGTAATTACGCCGCCTGCGTCAAAATATGCTTCAAATAATTTTAATTCTTAAGAAATGATTAATTAATATTTACGGAGAAATTAAAGTATGGGTTTATATTTTTTTTCACGTGGTTGTTTCCTAAAATCACTAATTCCTCAAATTGTCACAGAACCGGAGGTTAGACCTTTTGACCATGCGCCGCATGGACAATTTGCCCATGGCCATGAGAAATTAACGCTCGGCCGTTCAGGGTGAGAAAATGTGCCTACCTTGAACTGCTGTCCGCTCTTCCTGCAGTCCCGAAGAGGCACCGGTTTTCCTTCACTTTCTCGCCGAGTTTACACATTTTTCACTTGCGAAATTGCGAATGAATAAATAAAGAGGTCCCCACAACTCCACAAAGACATTTTCTGTCAAAATCCACCACCGAAAACTTCTAAAATGAGTCTTTCCTTGCTTAGCCGCACACACCGAACACAACTGCATTTCTTTGTTTACGTCTAATCCTCTAAAAATGATTGATGACTGTGGCTAATTCTACGCAACTGATTGGCCGACCTCCTGACCCGGGTCATTTTTACATATTAACGGCGGGAAGTCATTGAAATAATGGCCGAGCAAATCACAACGTCATATTTTTACCAAAATAGTTGTTTATTTTATTTGAGTCGCAACATTCAGCAATTTTGGGAACATTTTATTTATCATGAAATGAAATCAATCAAGAAAAATAAGCAATAATAAGTATTAATAAAATTAAAAAAAATGATAATTATTTAATTAGTTGCAAATCGATCGTGAAATCCTACCACAAAAAAGGTTCAGTGGCATGCATTTCATCATTTTATTTTATAAGAAAAAAACTTTGGCTCACGATCTCAAATTCCTTTTTTTTTCTTTTTAATAGTTGATAAGATTTTTCTAAATACCCGTTTCCCTGTATTTGTAATTTCACGGAATGTTAAAACATTGATTAAATTTTGCGGTTTGTTTGGTGCGTGCACAACTGCAGATGCGGCACTTTTGGCTGCGGTGCTGCAGAGGCAGTGAAGCTTTGATGCATTGGCTGACGGATGCAAATAAATTCAGCGCACAGAGCACGAGTGATTGCGATTGCCTATTAAGCTGTGCAAACCCTGCGAGTTATAACCGTGCGAGGATGTTTGCAACACCAAAATTACAGATCATCGCTGACTGACATCACTAACTTTCGATAGTTAAGTCAATGATGCATACAACTTATAGTAATGATGTGAATTGATGATAATTAGGTTCAAAGAAATAATAATAATAATAATAAAATACCTCCAAATTAAAACAGATTCAGTAAATTTATAATATTGAATGTATGGATGATGTATTTGGGCAGAGAATGCCCGGTGGTACATTAATAAACACAATTGTAACTAAAGGGTACAGAACATCAGGACACTTTTTCTTGTGCTGACCAAAAATTACGCTGTAAATGAGGAAATTAAAGTTTCGATTCAATTCAATCGCAAGGTTTAAAAAAAATAAATCAGATAATTTCTGAGGAAAATAAAGTTTCATATTTTTAATAGTTTATTTATTATTATTATCATTACTATAATTATATATTATATGCTTTCAATATAGTTTTCTATTTCTTAAACCTTTTCGAGTTTCTTTGCAAGAATAATCACGACCAATATTTTTTTCTTTTCAGATCAATTTCTATAATTTTTTTAGTTTGTAATTATTTTGGATGACTCCTGGTTTTTGCATTGTTTCCACCGGCATGATATTTTCGGCGCGAGGAAAGCGAAGAACAGTTTTCACAAAATCAATCAATCAACCACACATTTATTCCATACTGGTGCATATTTGGTATAGGCACTCGAAAACACCACCGTAGGCACATTTCCCTGGCGGATCCGATTTCAGTAAAAGCGGAGGCAAACAAACGCAGATTTCGGATAAATTATTCACGACCGCGAATATTACAAGCGAAATGCAACCCGCGCAGCACATAAATCCTTTGTGTGTACTTTGTGCTTTTGTTGACAAACACTTGCGCTACCATCCGCGAAATCTGCGTTTCCACCGACAATGCACTCACACTCAATGCCTACAAGCAGCTTTTGAACCACTTTCCAAAAAATCTTTATCACATTTTTCTATTAATTTTATAGTTGAGGGTCTTAAAAAAATCAAGAAATCAAAAAAAATGCTAATCGAGCTTGTCCAATTTTTTAATGAACTTAATATATTAACGAGTTATATACGCTTAAATTTAATTTATTTTTGTACTCATGGGACTCCAATTTATCGCAAACCAGCAGACTGCGCAGCCGACCTGCAAGGCACCAATCCTTGCCGTGTGTTTATTTTATTTCCAGCCGCTGCTTATTACGCTAAAATATTCATAGCCATTAAAAATTTAACCCATCCGCCGCCTCCTGCAGGCATCCTCTTCAAATGGCTGCGCTGATATTCATTAGATGTCTAGTCTGCGAAATTTCTCTCTTGGTTTTCCTCAGCATCACTTTTAAAATAAAACTTCCTTTGCAGTTGATTTATTTAATTTTTCAACATTTTAAATTTTTTGCAAACAATTAGAATGTAAATTCCAGCAAATGGTAAATTCTTTATTATTAAATTTTAATAAATATATACAAACAAGTCTACAACTATCTTCATTAAAACTTTACATACTGCTTGTGGCAAATTTTAGTATTTGTAATATAAATGCAGGGTGGTTTCACGGCAGAGTAGCTTTGAAGTGCCGAAAGCAACTCACTAATATGATATGCTTCACCGCCGAACAGCATAATTGAGCCAAAAGACACACGAAAGCTCTTTCTGATCAACTCAATGGAAACGCTCATCTTTTCCATCTCAAAATCGATTTCTGACAAGGAACAAAATATTCAAGGGGTGTCAGGATAGGATCTATTTTCCTTATCTACAAAATCCTTAATCCATTACTATTCGAAGATGAGCCAGGAATTTTTTTTATTTAAGTGGAAACTAACTGCTCTTTCCGAGAACAGCTCTATTGTTTCAGAAGATGCTGATCTTGCCATGATTATGCAAATTGACTTTCGGCCTGGAGGTTCTAGCAAAAGTCAGCCCCAGATAATTGCACATTCACCCTTAGAGAGCAAGGGATGAGATAGGGACTAGTCAGGACTAGCAATATCAATTATCGTGAGAGCCACCCTGTAAATAAGGCACTTAAGTCTCGCCAGCTGATGTCACGAACACGTTTCGCTACTAATTCCTTGTGCCCTCCCAAGAACCCCCTCCAAACAATTGATTTTGTTCTACAAACTTTCTGGATAGCATCAAATTAAAAATTTCATCCAATTTGTAAACAGATAAAGAGCATATTATCCAAAATTTTATTTTTACAATTAGTGGGCACTTAAGGAGACATTCATGGACAAAACTACCGTCTTTATCCTTGTTGTTAATATATTTTTAAATCTAACGGCTCACTTATTGAATGGTAAACGGTTTTTCAGTGAGAAAAAGCCCTTAATCGCTCACATTTATTTATTAATATATTTTTCTTAGTTGTATAAAAATTGCACCTGTTAATTTCCCACTGAGCATTCACTACGCCTCTCATAAACATTAAGAGAATTTATGCCGAAAGCCACACGCATCCCTATGTACGCAGTTGGTTTTAAAAAAAGTCAAGTGGGCGCTCAAGTTGTGCATAAAAAGTTTCCAACTTGTAAAAACTCTCATTAGCGTCGCTCTGCCCGTTAATTCTGTGTTAACCAAATGCAGA